TTAAATAAAATACTACACTACTTTGAAAAGGAGGTTAAAAACTGTAGTGAAATATGTGAATATGCATACCAATAGATCTTTTCACTGTCTTCTTTTGCTGCGAGAGGCCCGCGGCTCGTGGTAAAAATAGTAGAGACCTTGACTCTCAAGTCAAGCGTTGCTGCAAACGCAAGACGTGGACAATGTGACTGCTCTAATGAGTTAACATGGGTGAAAACATATCACAGTGTCTCAGGGCAAAGAATATTATAGTCATATTCAGTGTGCATCATATATTGTTACTGTTTGGTGTAACACATTATAAAGTTACTGCAAATCCATTACTTTTGGCAGTAATATAAGGATTAGGTTTTCAAATTAAATGAGGTGGCGAGAGGGGAAAATAAATAGTATCAGTACAACCTCAGAGGCACAACCATTCACAGTGACATACTGTGTAGTCTGGGGCAGGGTGCAGTTGCATTGCCAGGGGGCTTTTTTTTAGGAGGCAGGGCTGGATGGTTTTGAAAGCACTGGAGAAGTTGAAGAACATGACTCTTACAGTGCTCCCCTGCAGGTGTGATGCCTTGTGTGTCAGGTCTGGTAAAGCAAATTAATGTTATGATTGCAATATTGTTCATATTGTCCATTGTATTTATACATTTAACATAAAAGCAGGTTAATGACTGTGTGTGTTAATCATGTCTTACTTAGGGATGTGTCGATCAAATGCAACTGAAATTGATTGATCAATCAGTTCAAGAAATTAACTATCACTCATTTGGAGTTTTGGAACACTAATCCACTGAGTGCAGAGTCTGCGCTCAAACAACGTCTTTTAGAAAGATCTCCAAAAACCACACAAGCTGTGTTTGATTATGGGAACACAAAATTCAACAATGGCCAACGGCTCTCAGGAACTCAGTCCACTTGATGATCATCATTAATACTTTTCCACAGCTAACAGCCCAACTGACTTTCCTGGACCAACCACTCTACTAGTCCCACCACTGTGAGCCACCTAATTTCAAATAAGATTCTCCAGCTTGTCAACTAATAACATGAAACTTCTACTGAAGGCATAAATATTTAGAAACACGAATATATAGTTTAATTTTTGAAAAGGCTCAGTAATATCATAAAATAGCTGGTCACTGCTAGTTTGAAGCAAACAATATTCAAACAGGAAACTATTTGGGACTATTATTTTATGTAAGCAGAACAGTGGGATAGTGCATAGCTGAAACAACTACTGTAACTTATTTGTTTCTTGGGCAATAGAACACTTGAGAAATATCTCTTTAAATAGGTAAGTATTTTATGTCACTTTATAGTGTATACAACTTAATTTAAAAATATTTTGTTTAGAAAAGGTAACAATATAAAAGTTGTTGGAATATCTTTTTTTATTTTTAAGTTCTGTTTTTACAAATATTGCAATTTGCCCAATAGAACATTGTTTTACATTCTGCAACTTCATATATTGCCTTTATATATTGTATCATGTTGTGGGGCCAAGAAAATTCAATAGTAATCAAAGCCTTCAGTATACAGTACATGATGACATTAAAATATTTTTATATTCTATGTACTCTGATAGTAGATAGTAGATAAGACACTGTGAACCTGTTTAAAGGCCACTGTCATTCAAAAACAAAACAACAACAACAAAAACATGATATACCATGAAACCGCCAGAATATCAAAACAAATGTCATAATACAATTTTTTGCTCAAACTGCCCAGCACTACAGTGGCCTCTGCATTTGTATTTCTCACAGCCCCTGTAACATCCAACATCATAGCCTTCAGTTTATGTTGACAAAACAGCTATTTAGTAGTTGGGGGTCTAAACACAAAAATTGGTGGGTTTTGAGAATCGTTACAATATCACAAAACAAAATATCATAATATTTTCTTACACTCTAATTGGATACACACACAATACTTATTAGTAGATACATTTACTGCACACAACATTTGTTGACAGTAATAAAAAATATAGATGATCGCCAGACCTTCAACTCCTTTAAGTAGCTACAAATACCCATGTGTTTTTCATTTGACAGTAGACCTATGGTACATTTTCCCCCCCACATGATATTTTCATTTAAACTCCACTACACATTCATTAAAATGCTTAACACTATCTGTTCCCTCTCTTTCCTCACCTTCCCCAGGTGCTATTTTAGTTGCACAGCCTCTGGACTATGAGACCTGCAGGGACTACTTCCTGACAGTCGAGGCCCGTGATGGCGGCATGCCACCACTTAGTGCCATTACTACAGTGAACATAAACTTGACAGATGTCAACGACAACGCACCCATGTTTAGCTGTGACCTCTACACTGCAGTCGTGTCAGAGGATGCCACCATTGGAGAGACTGTTGTCCAGGTAGGTCCCGGTCAGAGTTTTCCTTGCATGCTATACAGCACTTTCCATCCAGAATAAACTACCTTTACAGCTATTGGCTAAATCTTCAGGAATGTTGTTCATGTTAATGGTCTCAAGAGTCTGCTGTCTTAATATTTTTTGTGAATCCCTGACTTTTGCTGTAGCGCTGTTATCCTTTAATACTTTCCTTGACTAACACTTTCCTTCCCTATATTATTATTTACTATATATATATAAAAAACTTCCCTCTCACCCTCTTGGGGTGGTATCTGTGTCATCCTCAAGCTCGGGTCCTCTACCAGAGGCCTGGGAGCTTGAGGTTTGAGGTTTGCGCAGTATCTTCAGCTTTGTTCTGAGGACTGACTCCTTCCTGGACGTTGGAGGCTTCTGATGTTGTTCTGCTGGGACTCTGTGAGCCACTCCCCAGGTTTGGCGGTCAAACTGCCCCGGGTGCTCCTCACTACCACGGGATCAACGCTTGCTTGATCTTCACATCTGCTCCAGATGTTCTTTCCAGACCCCTGGTATTTTTCAACCTTCTTCGGTGTTCCTGTCTTTCTCTGAGTGTTGGCGGTATGCTGGTATGGCCACCATCTATCACCGCGGCCACCGGCGCTTTCTTCTGCTCCTTGTCTACCACACGTATTGCGCCAGGACCGTTCTTGTCAGTCCTGGAGCTTGAAGTCCACCAGCTACCTTGGCGCTGTGCTGTGTCCTCAGACCATTTTATGTGGGCGCCCATTCGGGATCTTGGTACTTCTATTTCCATCTGGGTACAGATGATTCTGTAACAGCTAATTCGCCAGCCACACCCTCTGGTTTGTCCTCCCAGTGTACACTGAACTGACTAGCATCTTACACCCGCTCCTGTCCCTCCACCTTGTCTGCTCCTCTTTCCTCCCACTCCTTATCGGGAGTTTCTCTTGCCTGAGAGTTGCCCTCAGCCAGTTCTATCCTTCTGTGGCCATTTCCTTCTGATGTACTGCCTTGGATTTCTTGATCGGTTCCATCCCTGGATACCGTCGCGCCCTGATCTACTGATCCTCCAGCCCGGTCCCATCGCCGTTCGCTTAAAGCCTACCAGCTCCCAGCGGCTTTTTTTTG